ATGCAAACGACATGACATCTCCGGATTGTAGCCATGATTTTGTAAACGTAGTACTTGTGGCAATTCGTAGGCAAAGAGATCGGCGTTGACATTGCCATGATAACCTCCAACAATCAATAATGTATTGTTGCGTCTCAGTGCGGCGGCGTGAGCAAATACACCTTGTTTTTTCGGATACAGACTTTCTTCCGCCGATACGACTTGATTGATCCATATATGACAGCTGAGATGGTACCAATACATTTGATTGTCATAGCAGATTTCGTCCTTATTGTGGCGGTGTGTGTAGCCACCGAAGACCATCATATAATTGCCGGAGATCGTGGCTGAATGAAAGGCGCGTTCGTGTGGAATGTTTGTGTCACGTAAGGCAGTGCGTGGATATAGGATTTCTGTCCAATGCAATTTATCTAATTGGAATGCAAAAATTCTATCTGAAAGCTTGGAGAAACGCGCCAAACTTGACATAATGCCGCCAAAAACAATTAATGAATTTGTTGCACTATAGTAGACGGTGCTGTGCGCAGCTAGACGCACATCTAAAGATTTACCACCGCGCGGATGCACGAACTCCCATTGACCATCATCATCCTTATCAACGGCATTCGTTGATTCGTCCTCACCAACTGGATGTTCGAATAACTTGTTTTTGGTATAAATAGGCAAACGTAAACGGTATATTCTGAAACAAAAGTATATATAGGTCTTTTCTCTAAACATTTGAAAAATTTTAATGTTTATACTTACTTCGATGAAAATTCGCCCGTTTCGAGACTACCGCCAAATAAATACAAGTATTCGCCAGCTAATGTTATTGTATGTCGCGCAACTTTTGGTGGCTTCAGCTTTGAATTTCGTGCCCATAGCTTCCACTTGCCGCCACTTTCAGTGCTATTATAAAACCACAAGTCGTTGAAGAAACTGCCGTTTCCATTCTTGCCACCAAATATCACGAAACCACCTAGTTGTAACATGCGATGTGTTGCAAACTAAATTATCTAATGATTAATTATATGTTTATTTACCAGGCACACGATCTGCAGCGTGTCCATATCGACCTTCGGGTTTATTATCTGTAACTTCTTCTAAAATATCTTCAAAATACTCAGGTATTTGTTCGTTTGTGGTATTCGCATTAACATCTGCAATCAACTGTGAAGAGCGTGTACGCCGTTGATGTAAATTAGACTCTGCTAGCGTATATAAAATATTTCGGAAGAATGATACATCACTACGCAATCCCCAAAGTTTGGCTTCGTCTTCACTTTTATGTTGTAAAACTGCCTTCAGTAAAGTGGCGTTAATTTTCTGTGAATAATTGTGATCCTGTAACAAAAGCCCCCACTCATCAACCCATTGACTGCTGCTAAAGCGATAAATCTGTAAGAAAGAAAAGCTATATTGCTTGAATAAAAACATAAACATTTAACTTACTTGCAATGAATTGATAACATTATTTAAGTCATAACCACCGAAAACATAAAGAGCGTCATGTTCTTCGAGATAAATGGCAGTATGCGCTGCACGCGGTGTCATACCCTCTGCGTCGGTGGCCAGCCAACGCCAATTTCCGCCTTGGGGATTTATATATAAATCACATAAGCGCCCGCTGAAGCCCTGCATTAAGAAAGAAATTTTATAATAAGGTAATTACAAAGCAAATTAGACATTCAAGCTTCCTTTAGATTTATATTTCAGCTAAAATTGTACATACCTTTTCACAATGGCAAATACCTTTGACGCATTTACCACGCCCTTGCGACTCACCGCACTTATTTGGACATGCCTCACTCTCACAATCAGGCAGGACCCACTCCCCATGACAGACGCATTGGTGTCCTACACATTTCCCATGGTTATGGCAATTATTCAAGCAATTTGATATGTAATATGAAGCCCGAAAACCATCGAGGACATAATTCGTGTCACTGTACATAAGTACAAGCATCTGTATATATTGGCAGAAAAAATAAAAATAATTCATTATGTGTAAAAGATGACTGAAATTTTCAAAATTCTTACACTTCCACTTCTCGCAACCAATCGTTGAGGTTGGGTACGACCACTAAAACTGCCTAGCAGCGTGGAATTAAATGAGTCCCCATCATACACATAAATGTAATCATAAGCGCACTCGGTGCCCATGCTATGGAAAGTGAGTGTTATAAATTGACTATCATTGCGTGCCTTTATTAACCACTCGCAATGCGAATCCTGCGTATAGTTAAAACCAGCAGGACCGTCACTTATTTCTCCGTACGGTTCAGTAAACACTTTACGACTACGATCACATGGGGCATGATGTTGTAAATGCTGGACCGTAGGTAATAATGTGATGCGATCAGCCCGTGTTTCCCAACGTTGATTTGGGCAAACACAGAGCAAAAATGCTAAACATATTAATGTGCGTAATCGTACGAATCTTGCTATTCTTAGTTTTAACATTTTGTGTAAATATGAATACTAATTACACATAAATTAAGTTGCTGGTACTCAAAATATTCAAAGCCATTTCACACGGGTATAGAGCGCCTGAACGCTATTCCATCAATACAGTTAATAACACTAATTAACACATTGACTTTTATATTGCACTATAATTAATTTTTTGCACTTTTTTACACTTTTTCCACAGAAAGAATTTTTTCGCTAAACATTTATTTTTTCATATATGAAAGGCTGATGAAAATTTCTACAGACGTCAAAACAACTTTTGAAGTTGTTGACATTTCAATTGTAACCTACACACACTTTAATTAAAAAACCTATTCGCAATAAGAAATATACCGTGAGTTATACTGAATTTACGGTATTTAACTCGCAATGAAAACTATAATGAATTGTATAACAAAGATTTAATTATTTTATTAAAAGTCTTCCATATTGATTTGTTATTAAACACTGTATAAAATATTCTTACTACAACTTTTTTACATATCTGTATTCCCTACACACATATTATGATACCAATTTACCCTACCAGATAAGATTATATTGTAAAAAGTAACATTATGTTATTCAGTTTTAAATTTCTATACCTTAGCTTGTATGAAAAAATACCGATCATTTATTTATCAAACGTTAAAATACATTTCAAACTTTTGCTGTAAAAATTTGAAAATTCGAATCTTTCATTGATTTTCTAACAAATTTCGCGTGTATAACAACTCTGCTTCTATTGTCGGCCTGCCCTTGCAATGACATTGAATTGTCTACTAAAAAGTTTGACCGTGCCGATAAGCAGAAGGAACATTTTGTGCGTGCGGAAAACTTTGCAATTTCAATCTTTTTTCGGAAGTACTATTCAGAAAAGCCTATCTTCTTGTAATAAAAAAGAAAAGAGTAAAAGTGGTAAAATGGCTTTTAACAAATTGAGCATCGAAAGTTTGGATTTAAATGGCAAACGAGTGTTGATGAGGTAATTGGTTTCTTCTGTAACAGCAATTTGAGCGAGATTGCATAAATATTTTTTTTTTTTTTGAAGAGTGGACTTCAATGTTCCAATCAAAGATGGCAAAATTACAAGCAATCAACGTATTGTTGCTGCTTTGGATAGTGTCAAATTTGCGTTAGACGCAAAAGCGAAATCTGTCGTAAGTAATTTTTCTAAATGTCGGCTTACTATCTTCTTAGATACACTTACAAAATTTATTTATTTACAGGTGCTCATGTCGCATTTAGGTCGGCCAGATGGACAAAAGAACCAAAAGTATACCCTTGCTCCAGTGGCTGATGAACTGAAAAAACTTCTTGGAAAAGATGTGAAATTTTTACCTGATTGCGTTGGAGCCGAAGTAGAAAATGAATGTAAAGATCCAGCACCTGGCACTATTATTTTGTTGGAGAATTTGAGATTTTACATTGAAGAGGAGGGAAAGGGTATTGATGCTAGTGGAGCGAAAGCAAAGGCAGATCCAGCTAAAATGAAAGAATTCCGTCAAAGTTTGGCCAAACTTGGTGATGTGTATGTAAACGACGCATTTGGTACAGCACATCGCGCCCATAGCTCGATGCTTGGCGAAGGTTTCGAAAAGCGCGCCGCTGGTCTTTTGTTGAACAAAGAATTGAAATACTTTGCTCAGGCTCTGGATAATCCACCTCGTCCATTCTTGGCCATTTTGGGTGGTGCTAAAGTTGCGGACAAGATTCAGTTGATTTCAAATTTGTTGGATAAAGTGCATGAGATGGTAATTGGTGGAGGAATGGCATTCACTTTCTTGAAAGTCATCAATAATATGAAGATTGGTTCATCACTTTTTGACGAAGAAGGTGCAAAAATCGTCAATGATTTGGTTGCAAAGGCAAAGAAAAACAACGTGCAATTACATCTGCCGGTAGATTTTATTTGCGCAGACAAATTTGCTGAAGATGCTAAAACATGTGAAGCAACTGTCGAGGAAGGTATTCCAGATGGTTACATGGGTTTGGATATTGGTCCAAAATCCAGAGAATTGTTCAAAGAGCCCGTATGCCGTGCAAAAATCATCGTTTGGAATGGGTAATTATAAAGCTTATAGTATTATAAGGATTTTAATTAAACTTGTATATTCTTTCAGTCCGCCAGGTGTGTTTGAATTCGCTAACTTTGCCAACGGCACAAAGGCTGTTATGGATGCGGTAGTTTCAGCTACTGAAGGCGGCACTGTTTCCATTATTGGAGGTGGTGATACAGCTTCTTGCTGCGCCAAATGGGGTACTGAATCGAAGGTATCACATGTTTCAACCGGAGGTGGCGCCTCTCTGGAGTTGCTTGAGGGCAAGACACTGCCAGGTGTAGCTGCTTTGAGCAATGCTTAAAAACAGCACAAGAGACAAATTTGTATTAAGAAACTACCTATGCTGAGCAATTGGAAAATATTATAAATATGGTTAAAACACTGCTCTTGCAACAAGGAAAACATTCATTTGTAGAACATATTGAATCCGTTTAGATGTTGAATAAAAATAGCTGATAATTTAAAAACGTTAAATACATGTATTTATTAGTTACGAAAACTTATTTTTTTTGTAAACGAGAAGTTTTTTTTTTATTTTTTTGTAAAATTTGAATTCATAGCAGCGGATGTGCGTTGAATATTATTCAAATTTGAACGAATTCTAGACCCAATGGAGGACTGCGTAGCAATCGCTTTTCTTACTTCCTTATTTATGAATTCCTTGTCGAAATCCTGAATTTTATATTGTTGCTCTTCACGGGCATTGGCTTCGCGATGCTTTTGCACTGCTTTCACGCGATCCTCCTCCCTCCAACTAGCGTTTTCCATCATTTCACGAAGACGTGCTTCCTTTTCCTCATTGCTTAATTTTTTCTGTGTGACTACACCTTTACTTTCATTAGATCGCGAATGTGCCCATTTATTTTCTTTAGGATCTTTTGATCTTTCTTGCCGACGGGGAGAACGTGAATTTCTACGTGGTGAACGTGAACTTCTTCGGGGAGAACGTGAATTTCTACGGGGAGAACGCGATTTTCTGCGAGAAGGTGAATTTCTGGGTGGAGAACGTGAAGTTCTACGGGAGGAACGTAAATTTTTTTGTGGGGAACGTGATCTTCGTTGAGATCTTGAACGTTCCCTTCTGCTTGAGCGTACTGGAGATCTATTTTCAGAACGACGGCAACTTTTACCAAGTATAGATGACTTGGAACGCGATCTGCTTTTAAGTTGCGTTTCACGCTCCTTATAATCTTGCCGTCTCGATTTTTGTACTATTTTACTCACTCTATGATCATTTATGTTCTTACGATCTTTACTTAATGAACGACTTGAACGGGACCTTTTGGAATTGGAAATAATTCTAACATCCCTTTCGACAGAAGGAGAGGTAGAGTATTGTCGTTTGCGAGGCTCATCGGGCGATCGTGTAATCGAACTTTGTCTCTTTTGATAGTTATTGGGAGATCTATGACGAGGGCTTCTACATGTTTTTTGTCTTCCTTTACTCTCATACGAGTTTTTCTCTACTCTTCTATCAAGATCCCTGGATCTTCTCTTGTTGTCATGATCACTGTCACTATTATTTGAGCGATGTCGGTGATCTTTTTTGCGCTTACTGCCGGCAGCTTTATCCAATTCTTTTGTAATAGTTTCGAATTTAGCGTCCAATAATTTTGACAAATTCAAACCAGAAAAATCCTCTTCTTTGTTTAGCTTTCTATATCTCTTAGCTAATTCCTTATCTAGATCCTTTGCGGTATCACTGCCCGATGCAGCATCTGATGAGTTGTCATCGCTGGAATATTTAGAACGTTTTTTATGTTTTTTCTTGGATTTCTTAGACTTCTTAGATTTCTTTACTTTTTTGGACTTCTTTAGTAATTCGTCAGTTTTAAGAATGCGGTGAAGTTCTTTTAATTTTACTGGGTTCTCTAAAAGCTTTTTCCTTGATTCCATTTCGCGTTGTTTAATTAACATTAAAGGATCCTCCATTACTTTACGCTGCAAATCGACTTGTTCTGTGTTCTCCATATTGCGATAAGAGCGTATGGAAAATGGTATGCATTCGTGTTCCACATGATTAATAGATTGTTTTACACCGACCATATTTTGATCTTTTCGTTGCTCCTCAGCTTGCAACATCTCAAATGATTTGTCGATATTCCTTCCAAGCAGATATTCTTCCCGATTTATAAGCTCATTACTACCTGTAAATAAACAAAAAAAAAATTATGTTGCAAATTCAGGCGTTACGGGAAACTTTTGATTAACTTACTTTTGTACATCCATTCTAACTTCTTGTCCTCCTGTGGAAGTATACCAGAATTGCGACCTATCTGTTTAAGCTCCTCTCGTGTTTTTTCCTCATCTATCTCCCTACGTAGATCTTTGAGCTTTTTATCTTCCTCCGATTTTGCTTGCTCCGCTTTCCACACTTTTTCTTGGTTTTTCATCGTATGCGGATGCCAAGACTTTTTCAAATTCTAAAATTAAGCATATACTTATAATTAACAGTTTTTTTATATTTAAATAACTTTGTTATAGTACCAAATCTCCGCCGCCCATTTCGTCGAGTTTTTCCTTTACTACCGGAAATTAATAAATGCTTGCGAAACTTGCTTTAATTTTAGTTGTTTGGATAACAAAAACAATATAAACAATATGTTTATATATTTAACTTTTACACTTTTTTCTAAGTACTGATATTATCTAAAAGCACGGTATAAGGATTTTACAATGGTAAACATTCTATATCAGCTGATTTTTTTGATTCACAATGTTAATTCCCACATTAAATATTTGTTGATTGTGAATGAAATCTTCATGATATAATTGTGAATATGATATCCTATTTCCTCTGCCATCTTTACATTAATATGTATATCCGTCTTTTGGATTTAAATAATATTACTAGACTATCAACCATTCATCGTTTAAATCATACGTTTATTAACAGAAAGCGAAATCGAAACTTTTGTGTATGTCTCACACATTTGGTTAATCAGTTACTACGTAGGTGTGTTTCCTTTTCTATGCAAAATTATTTCAATGTACTATAAGTGTTTCCAGCCCATATTAGGGTGCTTTTGGTACATATGTATGTATATAACTTGGAAGTATAATCATAATTTATGCAAAAATTTGGCGATCTGTCATAGGTGGCAGTATATAAATCAATTTCGTTTATAAATGTACAGTGGCAACCCACTATCCCCCACGAGGTACTTCAGCTGATTGCCGAACACCAAGTGGGGCTGGCTAATGTGGCGGTTATTATACGTTTGCTGATTTGGGTAATTTTGCAGTATTGGATTTTGCCTGGTTGAGTACTATTGCTTTGTGGGTGGCCGGTTAACAATTTAAGCATTTAAAAGAAGCTTTTATCACTCGTAATTTAAAGAGTAGAAAATGGCAAATATTAGCGGAAAAACTCTTTTGTCGGCAAACCGCGCTATTGGAGCAGCATTAAATGCCAACACCGCACGCACACAGTAAGCAATCGAAGCGTCAATTTAATTAGAACATTTACAATATTATAAATATTTACACATATGTATGCATATGTGTACCAGGTTAAATATCCGCCGGGTAGCTTGCATAGTTAGCAAATGTTTAGCAACTAAGAAATGGTATATTTAAGTTTGGACGAACCATTTAGATGAAAATTGCATATTAATAAATTAACAGCGAAAATTTCCATGCAACCGGTGCTAACTGCTTAGCTCAAGCTCTAGTAGATGTCATTACACAAGGTCATTCAATCATGCAGCATATTTACTTGCCTATTTTCGCGCATTCGCAAGTACACGTATATGTGTAGATATGTACATACATATGTATTTGCCCTATAATGTACGCGAAATCACGTACGCTAGGTGGAATTGTAGCAATTTCATAATTATATCAATATTGGTAGCTATTTTATTTGTTGTTTTAGCGACAGTCATTTTTTTCTAAATATTACTATACTATATTATAGTATTATATACTATATTAGAAAATTTATCATATTTTATTTTTTTTTTGTTTTGCCGTCGCTTATTGCTCCAGCGAGCACAGCACTTTGCTAAACTAAAGGTTAATTTGTAAATATTTGTTCTTATATTTAGTTTAGATATATTATATATGCAGGCATGCAACTTAGGAAAATATATGTACATATTGTTTGTAGTTGTTAAATAAATATATATATAAGTACATACATACATAAATCACTTGGAGCAATTAATTGGTTAGCAATTTTTACTACACTGCTTGAATGAATTTATTAGGTAATAAATCAGTAAGAAAGAACTTGAATGAATGCACATACATATGTGCCTATCAATATGCATACATACATATGTATGTATTTGTACAAAATACTGGAGATTTATTCCATAAGCACAAGCACATTATGCACAATCAGCTTAGGGTAAAATAGATTGGCAGTAAAAATTACTTCCCTTTGCATATTTCCGCGTAAATTTAAACATAGAAGCATGTGTACATGCGTACATAGTACATACATACCTATGTAAGCTAGAATGTAAGCAAGAAATGTTATTTAGTATGTTGTGTTATGTTTCTATTTAGTTAACATGGTATAATTATGTATAAAGATCGTCTGGAAATAATATATTTTGTATACAATGATTACACTCAAATCTTTGTTACGTACATTAATATAATAAACGAAATGAACATCAACTTATTACTTAATAAATTACATAATGAAAAAATGCTGCTGTTGATATATGTATGTAAGTGCCAGGCGGATAAAAATATTATAATAAGACGGATATGTTATCTTTAAAGTGCATGATTAAGAATTTATACCTCTAGAAGTAAGGTAATATAAAATACTTGAGAAAATAATTCAAGTCTACATGTGAAAAGCCGGCGTATTAAAAAGTATAATAGCCTTATAACAAATTATTTCATACACCTCAATTGCTTCAAGAATTTTTTTAAATTAAATAATGGTTTGGTGCAATAGATAACATGATCACGCTTCCAGTTGCTGATTATTTGCTAAATCAGCGCTAACCCCTCCCACTTAACACAAACAAATATGTCTTCAAAAATTCTTTTACAAAATTATCTGTATATTTGTTGTATATTGAAAAAACGCTATATCCGCTGAATTGACGTACTGAGAGGAAATAAATGGTCGCAACATGACAAATATTTCTTTATTTTTAAAATTAGTGCAAAAAATATATAATAATTTCTTGAATACTTTTCTCATTTCACTACTCAATTGTAGATATCTACATATGTATGTATGTATATATGCAGCTGCATATACATTTGGAGATGCATGTATGTATGCCCAAAAATTTGTTCTTTTTTGTCTGTTAGGTCTATTTTTAAGCAGCTGAGCATACAGATGTATGTACTTGTATTTGTCAACGTCATCAGTCCAGCTCACGGCATGCGATAACGCAATTTATGACCATGGCAGTGAACAATTTGCATTTTCACGTAATTTAATTTTTATTGACATATATGTATATGTATGTATGTATGTATGCATGCCTATTCTAATTGTTATCATTATGATTCAGACATTTTTAAAACGAGCATGACTATTGTTTAGTGGCAGTAGCATAGATATGTTAAAATGTACGTATGTTAGGGTGTCCGTTATTTATCAAGTAGAATTTTTGATTTCTCGTTCAACAAAAACGTTTTATTGGTTTTTGCCATTGAAACAAAATTAAAAGTTATAAGCAGTCAAAGGTAGACAGCAAATGTACTGTTTGCATACAGTTCACCATGTCGTATGAGCAATGCCGAACTTATAATTTACTTGTATGAATGCCCAGTTAATTCAAAAAAAAAAAAAAAAAAAAAAAAAAAAAAAAAAAAAAAAAAAAAAAAAAAAAAAATGAAACTTCCGGGGCGTTTGCAAAAAAAAAATTAACTTGGGGAAAAACAGAAGCCCTAATGTATGTAGTATAAGAAACTAATGAATGAGTATATTCGAATTTCTCTAAACATATAAATGAAATGATTTACGTCAATTTGTAGCTTCCTAGTGAAAAAAAATTAAAAATTGATAAAGAAAAAATTATATTTGTATACTTATATGAGCTTGTATGTACAATTATAAATAAATGCTCTTCAGTAGTGTTGGGTATAATTTGTTTTTCAAATATTTGTTGACACCAGCAGAAATGGGATGTAACGTGACGCAATTTTATACATATATAATATTTCATATGTTTTTACAAAGTATTTACAAATAATAAGTATGTAATGATAATAACAGAGGCAGTTGGGAAACGTATAATTATTAATAACATATTTTTATTTTTTATTTGAATAATTTTTTCTTTTATTTCAGATCATGGTTTGCTGGCGTGCAAATGGGTCCACCTGATGCTATTTTGGGTGTAACCGAAGCCTTCAAACGGGACACGAATCCAAAAAAAATCAATTTGGGTGTTGGTGCTTACCGCGATGATAACGGTAAACCATGGGTGTTGCCAAGTGTGCGCACGGTAAGCTTACACTACATTATTTTAAACATAACTGTATCAATTACTAACGGTATCAAACGAAATTCCAGGCTGAAGAACGCATTGCCGCCAAAAAATTGGACAAGGAATACGCCACCATCATCGGAATTCCAGATTTCTACAACAAAGCTATCGAGCTGGCGCTTGGCAAGGATTCGGAACGCTTGAAAGGCAAACACAATGCCACAACACAGGTGAGTAAATCAATAATAATTACACTAACTTATATTGACGAGTCGTTTTAATTTGTAGTCCATCAGTGGCACAGGTGCCTTACGTATTGGTGCCGCCTTCCTCAGCAAATTCTGGCAGGGCAATCGTGAGGTGTATGTGCCAACACCCACTTGGGGCAATCACGTGCCAATTTTCGAACACTCCGGACTTCCCATCAAGAAATACCGTTATTATGATCCCAAAACTTGCGGTTTGGATGTGCAAGGTGTCTTCGAAGACATTAGCGTGAGTTGCACTTTGTTGTTGTATAGCTATTAATTTTATAAAAGTATAAAATGTAATTAATTAATTTAATATTTATTTATTTGTATTGCAGAAAATTCCAGAGAAATCCATTGTTTTATTGCATGCCTGTGCGCACAATCCCACCGGTGTCGATCTCTCACTCGAACAATGGAAGGAGCTCTCTCAATTGATCAAGAAGAAGAACTTGTTCCCTTTCTTCGATATGGCCTACCAGGGTTTCGCCTCCGGCGATGTCGATCGTGATGCACAAGCTGTACGCATTTTCGAGAAGGACGGTCACTTGTACTGCCTGGCGCAAAGTTTCGCCAAGAATATGGGTTTGTATGGCGAACGTGCCGGTGCATACTCGGTCATCACTGCCAGCAAAGAAGAGGCTGATCGTGTCACATCACAAATTAAGATACTCATTCGTGCGCTCTACTCGAATCCACCAATCAATGGTGCACGTCTGGCTGCCGAAATCCTCAATGATCAAGAATTGAGAGCCATTTGGCTGAAGGATGTGAAAACAATGGCCGATCGTATTATCAATATTCGTGCACAATTGAAGGGCAATCTCGTGAAGTTGGGCTCATCACGCTCTTGGGATCACATCACCAATCAAATTGGTATGTTCTGCTACTCGGGCATGACTGCCGAAAATGTCGAACGTTTGTCGAAGGAGTTTAGCATTTATCTGACCAAAGATGGTCGCATCTCGATGGCTGGTGTCACTAGCAAGAATGTTGATTACTTGGCGCACGCCATGCACGAAGTTACCAAGTAAACGCGAAATAGCCAAATTTGAATAGAAATGTTTGTTATGAATTTTAATGCACAGCAAATCAATGCGGCCAGGTTGCCGCTAAAATCGAATACACACATACATATATCTGTGTACATGTGTATGCAGGTGTGTGTGTATAGTAGAATTTTAATAAATAATAGCGGTCCAAGTCTTTTAGCTTTGTAAACTAAAGTAAACCTTGTAACATCTACATTGGGTACCTATGCGAATATAACGCTCAAAAAGAAAATATAATGTTAACATATTATATAAATAAAGGCATTTAATATAAAACTGTAAATCACGAATTAATAAACAATTGAAAATATAATATAAGCAACACACCCATATATACAGATTTTTTTTTAACTTAACGGTTGGATTATTATTGTTGTAATAATATCGTCTCTCATAACGATACACAGGATATTGTTGTTGTTGTTGCAAAATCCGAAAATATTACTCGAATAAAAATTCGGGATAGTCTCTTAGAAGAAGAGGAAGACTCACTATGTTGGAAAGACCAGATGAAGGACCTGGCTACACTTGAAATCTCTAATTGACGCCAAACAGCGTAAAGAAAGAACGAAGCTGTTATAAACTAGGCTATAACCTGTTTACTTGGTACCAACGGTCCAGAATTGCCGGCTTCTGTGGGGCACACGAGCATAAATTTTTAAAACTGCACACTTTATTTATATGTAAACTCCGCTGTTGTGCTAATACACAGGTTGTTCGGTTATTTATGTTACTAACGGTAGTGACGAGCTCAATTAACATTTTGTTTTCGAACAATTGAAAGATTACCGTTACATTACTAGTAAAAAAATTAAAAAAAAAAATTTGAAAAAAAAATGTTAATTAAAAAAAAATTTGAAAAAACTATTAAAAAAATATATAAAAAACATCTGAACTTTGTTCTACGAATTTGGTGTTGACACAAAGAAAAAAATTATAATCACAATTTCATACAGAAATTTTGTAAAATATGTTGCAATTTACAAAGCGTGTACAATTTAAAGCTGCAGCTGCGCCATCCCTGGATTTCACACGTTACAAGTATGTATTACATGCAATATGAAGGTATCAGAAAAAAAACTAAAATTCCATACAATAGAACATGGTTCACGGATGTGAAGATGGCACCACCCGACGTAATACTCGGCATCACGGAGGCATTTTTAAAGGATAAAAATCCTAAAAAGGTTAATTTAGGCGTTGGCGCATACCGTGATGACAACAGCAAGCCATGGGTGTTGCCCAGCGTGAAAGAGGTGTGTTGCTTATGGTTTTTGTTTTTACTAAAAAAAATCATGCAACATTTCATCAAGGCACAAAAACGCGTAATAGCTAAAAATATGAATAAGGAATATGCACCCATACAGGGTTTGGCGGACTTTTATAACAAATCAATAGCGCTGGCGTTGGGCGAAGACTCGGACATACTGAAAAATAATTGCAATGCAACTGTGCAGGTATGCATATGGCACTATTTGATATTAATTATTTATATGTATATTCGTAATAACACTGTTAACGTTCACGTAGAGTTTGAGTGGCACCGGTGCCTTACGTATTGGTGCCGCATTTTTAGGTCTCTTCTGGAAGGGTGAACGCGTGGTGTATTTGCCCACACCCACATGGCCTAACCACCGACCAATTTTCATGCATTCCGGCCTGAAAGTGGCCAACTATAGCTATTATGATCCAAATACGCGTGCGCTGAATGAGCAGACGCTTCTTGAGTCGTTATGTGTAAGTGGATTTGAGCGGCATGCGAAGATGCTTTTTTTTTAATTATTAAAAAAAGTAATAATAATAAAAATTCATACTTTCAACTTTCGTCAACTTTAGAAAATACCAGAAAAATCCATTGTGCTGCTACATGCGTGTGCCCACAATCCCACAGGTGTCGATCCGAATGCGAAGCAATGGTGCGAAATATCGCGAATAATGAAATCACGTAATTTATATGCTTTCTTCGACATGGCTTATCTTGGTTTCGCTAGCGGTGATATTGATAATGATGCGGTAGCTGTACGCATTTTTAGCGCCGAGGGGCATACATTTTGCTTGGCACAGAGTTATGCCAAAAATATGGGTTTATATGGTGAACGCGTTGGTTCATTTACTTTGGTCTGCAGTTCGAAGGATGAGGCTGAACGTGTGACATCCAATTTGAAAACCATTATACGGCCCATGTATTCGAGTCCACCTATCCATGGTGCGCGCATTGCAATGGAGATTTTCAAGGATGACGAACTCTACTGCGTGTGGTTGGATGATTTGAAGACAATGGCCAATCGTACTATAAGTATGCGTAAGGAATTGAAAGAGAAATTAATTTCACTCGGTTCTAAGCACTCCTGGGAGCATATAACCAATCAAATCGGCATGTTCTGCTATACTGGTCTGAAACCGGAGCAAGTGTCGCGTCTTATAAAGGAATATAGTATTTACTTGACCAAGGATGGGCGTATTGCGGTAGTCGGTCTGACAACGAAGAATGTCGCTTATGTTGCAGAATCTATTCATGCCGTCACCAAGTAGCTTTTTCATTGTATATTTAACAACTGATTGTATAGAATTAATATATAAATATAATTAATAAACAAAAATATATGCAAAAAGCATTGACAGTTCAAAAGCGCCTACTAGGATGTAATATTTTCCTTACGTTTGTTTCGATATTATTTTCGCGCCGTTTGGTTTGACAATTAGTAGATTTCTTGTAAATAGCAGCTGCTTTGTTTAACCGTTATTATTTAAATAAAACACTCATTATAGTACAATATTTTGCATACACATACTATATATATGTTATGTTTTAATAAAAAATTTAAATTTGCAATTGCTTACATATTTATATATTTATAGCTATATAAACACATTAGTTTACAATTAACATATAGCATAAGTAGCACGTTATCGCAAGTTTGAAAACAAAGTTAAAAATAATTTCCAACCATTATTGCTCGATTTTAATTGCATATTAGTATTTTTGTATGACAACATTATAAACATACATACATACAAAGTATGAAATATACACACACACATATTAAGGAGTTAAGTTATTGAACTAGCTATCATTCTAGGCTCAAATAATAATATTTCTAACTAGAAATGTAAATACCAATACATATAATTACACACCATATTTATGGTCACGGTTTATTGTAACGATATCTCAGCTTTTCCGACGGTTCGCAATACTCTTTAATAATTAATTTACATAGGAACGCATGAAATACTATAATTATTGCACAAACTGAAACCCAAAAGAGTGTAGGCAAACCGCCTAACTGATGACCATGCCTATGAAGTGCGAGCAAGTGCTGCTCGTGCGCCGGCGCTAAAGTTGAGAATCAGAATTTTAAAACAAAGCTTCAGAAACACAAAATTTGAAAATATACCTTCCACTACTTCTTTAACATGTATAGCCTTGTGTAGCTCTTCCATGTGTTGCTTATCTTCAGTAATATACAGAATTGCGGTGACTGGTTCAGTTAATTTCACTGGAAATTGACGACGGCTTTGCCTAAAAGAATGTAAATGTAATATTTTACTTATTTCCAGCAATAAGTCAACTTAATTATTAACTCACGTGAGTAATACCGGTTCATCCAAGCAACCACCGTCACAGGCATAATAACTGCGGTCGGAACGATCAAGCGCCACATTAATCACCGCTTTATTATCTTCAGTAACGGTGATTGTGACATTAACGTGAGTTTTATTGCCGTAATTTAAGCGACGAAAATGAAAGTCACGATGCAGATACTTGGGATGCATGTTACACTCCAAATGTTGGTTGCTGAAACGAAAACTGCCAAAGCTGAGCACCATAGCTTGTATTACACCTGAAGCACCGGCACGTATTAGGTTGTGGCAACCCTAAATAATAAAATTATTGCATTGAAATGTCTTTACAGAGATACTATGCAGAGTATTACCTGCTTTTCCAAAGTGACCATCCACGATGACACCAAATTATTGAGTTTTTCTAATGTGTCAGCGTTCAACCAGAGATTCTCCGCCTGTAATGTGTAATATGAATCATAACAACCTTCAGCGTAGGTTAGTGCTTTCGCTATTTCTTGTTTGCTAGGCGACTTTAAAGAAGCGTACTCTTCATATTCGTAACTGCGTGTTTGCGAGAGAACTGCATACATGGAGGCGTTGATACGATCGCCATTCAAACTACCCTCCGCTTTAGATGTACTTATACTGAAGCCGGTAGCCCACAAATCTGACCAAACATTAATATGTTCTTGATGGAATGTGTGTGGATTTGGCTGTTGCTCCGATTTGTTTTGCAATTTTTGCAAAACTTTTGACATAGCTTGTATAGCTTTATTTTCCATATCCTGTACTGTCTCCGTTAACTTATCACGCTTAATCGGTTGTGAATAATGCACTGCAATTGGAAATACTATGTTGATAGTGCCACGCTTTTTCAGTTGTACAATTCGACTGATTTGCGGCTTGACTACGCTTACTACAATCACGTTGTTGGGATCGTCTGGATTTACTAAAATCGTTCCAGTACTCACTTCGAATTCTTTAAGCACAGAGGATTGAGTTGTTGAACTGGCAGAAATAATATAATAATGTATTAATGATTGTAGTAGATTTTACGTTGGTTTCATAAAAAGAAATAATTTGATTCTTCTCACTAATTTCTTCAACATTGATGGCAAATATAGAATAGTTGCAAATATTTTTGCATAATTTTTATACGTACCCCAATTTGATCACGTGCGAAGTTGGTGATTGAAAATAAATACGTGGGAAAATCAGCTCCACTTCCTCAATGGTATTTCGTGTGTTGGTGATTTTAATTTCTTGCATTAAAACACTCGGATTTGTACGGTGAGCGTAATAAGTATAGGCGACAAAATAATTAGAAAAACATTGAAACCTGCACACATATTTCATGAAGATTATACAATTTTTATTGTTTTAACTCATTAGTAATATAAATGACAAACTTACCTATGCACTGTACCGGACAAATATTCAACTACCATTGCTTCTCGTCCAGCTTCGTTTCGCTGCGCTACCGATACAACCGGATGAAATTGCATTGGTAGTTGCATAGAACGGCCCGATTTTATGTTCAAGGAAGCATCGTGTGCAACTTCCATACCAATGTAACCATTACCTATATACGGTATGAAATTACGTTCTTCTGGATGCGGTGGCACATGTCGTATATTCGCATCAAATTCATAGTTTTGCAGAAAAAATGGTGTTAAGCGATCGTCCATGCACTGCATGTGTGGATCTAAAAAATTCAACAAATTGAAATGTATTACATGTTTTTGTTACTATAGCCAATATACATCACCTTTTTCTTCCGGCGTACTCATAAATAAATACCGGAACACAGGTGGCAAAATATAGAAAAATACACATATTCCTAATAAGAGCAGAAAGATTCGTCTATAGGATAAAAAGCTACCATCCGCAAGACGTTTCAGTTTTCTCTTGAATTCTCCTAAGTCGAATTTATTCGATTTGTCTGTTCGAAACATTTTGGATTCGTTAGACTCACTTAAGTTTAAGAAATTTACTGTTTGGCCATAGATCGGTAGTTCTAGTGGTGTTGGGCCAGTCACCTGCTATGTTTGTTTTGAAAACACACAATATCCCCACCGAGATGGTTCATCCACACTTAACACTTTATCAATTTATTCACTTTCGTTTTACACTGCACAACCGGTGTAGAAATCTCTGTTGAATATTAAGAATACACATATGACAATCAGATTGACAACATATGATAAACAGTGTCATATTATTCTTAACCCAAATTGAAAAAATTTAAATAAATAATTCTAATTAATAAAAAAGAAAAACAATGATTAAATTATGTAAAGCGCAACATTCAAAAATAAGATTTATAAGAATAATAACAGTATTCGATCTAATAAAGAAATTATTACTAAAGAAACTATATAGTAAAAATCACCGAACACAAAAATGAATGCTTAAATTATAAAATAACAAGTTTATATAATATTTATAACAATAAATATAGTATAAAAATTAATTTTTAAATAATACTCTTTAATTTTAGACTATAAAATTTGAAATAACTTTCCATGTCGACCCTATTTAACTCTCTCTTTCTTGACATCTCCCATTTTACAATTTTGTACTGTACTTACTTTTTTGACAAATAAACATTAATGGCTGCCAATCTCGTATGAAGAAGCAGCAGCAGTGAATTTTTCGCTCCAATTTGCCAAAAATTAGAGAAAACTATTTTGGAAAATAGTGTAACAGTTAAAAAACAATTTGCGAAAACGCAGCGTGGATAATATTCGTGCAGGATGTGGCCGCAGGCGTTGCAAATGTCTAGAGATGAGTGTCGAGGGATTTTGAGAAGACTTGGTAAGAAAGTGGCTACGAATGCGAGCCAAACTACATACTTGTAGGTGAAAAGAACTGGCGTTGACGCGCATTCAGGAGTTATACCAACGGAAAGAGTGCACAAAGGCCGTGATCCTTTAGATAATTGGTGCCGTGTATTAATAGTGTAGTCCTTTATTAACCATTTATTGTTTGTTCAATCTATTTCTAGAGCTGGAATCTTATTCTCATGTGATTAGTGTATTTCGCGCTCAGGGTGGCCTCAGTGACAACAAGGCCAAACTTCTTGAGGAGTTGCGTGGCATATTTCACATCTCGCAAGAGCGTCATCGGGCTGAAGCGCGTCGTGTTGCAAACGATGAACAATTGTGTACCATAGCTGAAGCGTAAGTGTTTAAAGAATTCATTCGCGCAGTTACGAAATAAGGCGAAAGTTTGGTGCAAATTATTCTTCCTATCGCATGGTGCTTATATACATATATGTGTTGTGCTTTTATTTTACTTGTGTACAGTATATCGGGTCCAAATACATGGCAAGAATGGTCGCGTGAAGGACGACGATCGTATCCGATGTTACCGCGTGTGGCCCCACAAACAGCGCTTGCATTAATTGCCAATAATGTGGCAACTGAGACAGTTTCTGAAAACGCTAAATTACCCTATCCCGCTGATACGGCAGCAGCAGTCGTTGCCGAACGGGCAAATACCATCAATACAATTACGGGAAAAGAAGAATTGGAATCTTGGGAAATCAAGCGCGAGGTTTACGTCGTTACAGATGATCCTGTAAGTTGATAATTTGTGTGGTTGTGAGGGGTTGGGAGGGGTTATATAACGACAAAATAATATAAAGTAAAGTGTTTAAAAAAGTACAGTCTGTGTATTTGTGGTATTATTAAAATAAGATCATTTGCAGAAAAAAAGTAAAAATTTTGGAAAAATAACCACAAATTATATGTATTACTATATATAGTGAATTTAAAAAATGCATCATATATATATATATGTGTATATATACTGTCTCTTATACACATCTAGATGTGTATAAGAGACAGATATATATGTGTATATATATATATATATATATGTATATATACTATAATGTATATTAGCAATCTGGGAATGCATGCACATATAATTTGCTACTCTAATAAGATAAATTGGTGTATGATACTATTTTTTATGATTTTAATATTTCGGCTATAATGTTAAATATTTAAATATTAATTCATCTGTATTTGTGAATTAAACATTTTTAATGGGTTTTTTCTAATTAATTTTATTTTTTTAACAGTTCAAAATGCCTGATATTCCTGCTGTCAACAAGAAAAATCTTAAACGTAACATATCCGACAGTCAAACTAGCACCAACAAAAAGCGTATTATCAGTGATACTTCACCCACCAAACAACAGCACCAAAAGCAGTTCCACCACATAACTGCTAACAGTGCCCAAGCTATGTCACCCAGCTCCGGTAACAGTAATATACGCAAATTATATCACAATCACAACAGCAAAGCTGCTCAGCAACGTTTAAATCAAACACCATTACAAAAACAAAAACTGGCAACGAAAAAATCACAAATGGCCACAGGTGTAAACCCTGTATTACCTGTTACCCCTGGTAAGCGACAGGCGACGCCAGCCAAAAGTGGTCGCAAAGCAAATTCCAAACTTCAAGAACAGAAACAACAACAATCAATTGCTCAACAACAGCAGCAACAACAAATGCTGGCGCAGGCAACCATTCGCAACATACAACATGTTGTCGGTGAGGGGTTGGATGAATTCAACATCGATCAGAGTTCCACACAACCTCAGATTGCCGCTTCTAAGAAGGACATAACCAAAAATCTAACCAAATTGCAATTGCCTAGCGTAATTACCACACCACCATCAACAGGGGCATCATCAGTGTCGCCAAATGTGATAGCACCGGCAATACCATCCAATACCCCATTAATGGTAAATGCTTTGTCTACACGAATCGACACCCATCAATTGCCAACTGCCTTATCGCCAACCATTGGCAGTGCTGGCGGATCATCAGTTCCCACAGTTATACATGGCAAAGTGGAAAAATTGATATCAACGCCAGTTCAGAAAATTATACTTGAGGACCGTCTTCCGCCACAACAACTACCGGGTTCGGTTATCACAACTTCAACAACAGCAATGGCATCAGCTGTCGTGGTATCGACGGCATCCACGTTCCAGTTGCAATCTACATCCACACCACAGATAATGACATTACCACAATTATCAGCGGCTGCCACAAAATTACGCGCAGTAAATACCACAATTTTGCCACCCGGTACTAAAATCACCACGAAAAAGTTATCCGGCTCCACATTGATCAGTGCGCTTGGCACAGAGAATACCGGCACTACAAATAGCAGTGGTTCACAAGTGTTTAGCATCATTGAAGGTAACAATAGCTCAAGTAATGCACAATCGACACCTTCTCTGCCAACGCACACGCCACCCGCAATCATACAAATTCAAAATACAAACAACACTAGTGTGTCTACGGAAGCCACAACACTGCAATCGTCACAACAGCCGGCTCAAGGCAAAGTATTAACAACGAAATTGTTACCAATCGTCTTGAGTAGCGCCGGCGTTACTGGTGGTGGTGCCGGTGTAGGTGCATCCACTGCTGTTGGTGGCGGTAACACGGTTAATATTACGAAAATTGAAACTATCAATAATGGTGCTACACTCGTGGGTGGCAGCGGTGGAGGCAGTGCTCTTAGTGGGAATAATTTAAATGCTTCTTTGAGTGGCACAACTGCAGTACTAAAAACCGTGGGCTCCACATTATTACTATCACCAAATCAGAGTGGCACACCAGCGGGTAGTGCGCTATTCTCAACACTAACATCCGGCGCTCCGGTGTTCCGCAAATCGCAGATCATCAAAACGGGCACAATTGGCGTGAACGCAAGCAGCGCAGGCAAAGTAAGTCGAAATTTTACTTTCCATTGATTTTGGAGTTTATGCAGTAGTACAGTTTCCTGGTTTTGAAGTTTTTTTTATAATTATTTATTTTTGTATTATAATATTTAATGTTTTTAATTTTGTGGTTAGTTTTGACTATAAATTTAAAAATCTCTCAAAAATTTCTTTTTTAACTTTCAAAGTAATATTAAATTTGTGAAATTTTCAATTTAAAATTTTTC